ATCTTCAGTGCTAGAAGGGAGTGGGGTTTGCTCTTCTAGCACTGAAGATGTTACCTAGCCAGGTAACAAAATGTTTGCAAGAAAGCAACCATGCTCAGAGAACCCCAAGGACTCCACAGTTCAATCCTGAGCTACATATCTTCCCTTCAAGTTCAATATGTTAGCGTGAAATAAGTGTTTGCAGGATTGGCAGCCATAAATTCCATGCTAATTACCTCTAAGAAAATATGCTTTCAAAGACGGTTGTTGTTTATCTTTTTAATTATCGGAAATAAAGCTCTGGAGTCATGAGAATATTTAGACCAATTTCTTTTGTAAGTGTGCAAAGTCTGGAACTGGCACTCTTTGGTTTTATGGAACTAAACCCAAATAAAACAAGTATTCAGAGAAGTTTTATTGGATACAGAAAGCAGATTATATATGCATCAATCATATTACACAAAGGTTTCTATGAAATCAACCCTGATGTTGTCTTGCCTTTAAAGTTTTGGATAAATTACAAAAGAAACTGACATATAAATGTGCGTCCTGGACTTAATTTATCGATTAGGGATTTTCATTATCCGAACCTATCAAAAGGAAAATCCGAAAACCGTTGTCTTGGTAACCTCAAAAAAAAAAAGTCTTATTAGAAGCCCAGAAGTACAGTAGTTCAGTTCTTATTCAGAAATCATGATAATGAAAACATCTTCCGAAGGTACTATGGCAAAGCATCCTCTGAAATTACGATTCGGAGGGTTATAAGTTTATAAAGTTGGAAAGAATCGCAATTCACACTCCGCCTGAGTCTACATTAACACTTCCATCTTAAAACTGACCCCAGGTTCACTTTATTGCCAATACAAAATAGAGTGCTTTCCTCAAACGTGAGGTGGCGTTGAAAAAAGCTTCGCCAGAGAAATTTGCCACAATTTTAGGCTGTGTAATATTCTGCCTTTCGTATCTCTATAGAGAACTCCGCCGGCCGCCTGCATCCTCCCAGGATCACCGCGTTCTTTAGCGTCTGTTTGCGCTTCCGCTTTGTCACGCGGCCGCTGAGAGGCGGAGAGGCCGCGGCGCGGAGAGGTGGAGGCGGCATGGCGGCCTCTGGGAAGGCTGGGCGTGGAAAGCGGGGGGCTGCGACCCAGACCCCCAAGGCCGACAACGCGACCCCAGGTGATATCGTCCTCCCGTCTCGAAGCGTGGCTGGTTGTGTCGCCCTGACTCCCGCTTTTGCAGGGGAGGCACTTCGTGTTCCGGGGCGCATAAGCTAATTTACTTCGCCTTTTACATGCTGCCGTGGGAATGGTGAAGTTGATTTTGAACCTAATGATATCGCTGGGCTATTTGCCGCTCAGTGCTAATTACCGTATCTGGGCTGCAAACTCCGTATGACCAAAAAATGCAAAACACTCCATTTAGTGCCCGTCCGGATTTTTGCAGGCCGGGTAGAGTATTCCTACCCACTGCTGTGGATAATAACTCTCCAATGGATTTCATCTCAGAATTATGTGCCTGGCGATTATAGCTAACTTTTTAGTGGGTTCAGGTTTGCTTTTTCTTTAATGTATTAGTAATGGCTGTGAACACTCTTGGGCTAAAGTGCAAGATAGCTAAATTCTGAGTAGCTGTGGTTTTCTTTTAAGAGGGGATATATAAAGGCATAGTTTCAGTCCTCCAGCTTGTCTAACTGTTACGATATTATCTCAGTGTGATGTATATGGGGAGACAAAGTACCTTTTGTACCTTTAGAGTGAGGGAGAAGTACCAAATCACCCTGGTGTTTGGAAGGGACACTCTGCTTCACTTTTAACTGTTTCTGGAGTTTTTTGCAACAGCAGGTATTATGGAAATGCTACACTTTTAGCTTTTCTCAAAGCTGCAGTGTTAAACATTCTGAAGATAGCATCAAAATACATAGAAGTCCCAGTAATTGGAAGAATTGGATGATTTAATTATCCTTTTTATGAAAGTCTTATTGTGCTACATTATGACCAGTAATTGGTAGACTATGGTAGATTTGCGACCAAAGAAATAACAAAGTGACAAATGCATCTACTTGCCCAGTTGTCCTTTTCTGCCCCAGACTGGCACTGTCATAGTGCTGTGCTTCCTTTGGACGAGCTAGGAAACCACATTGCTAGACACACACTTGTCTGAAAATCTTTCTTTGTAGGGGTGGGATAGAAGTTCTTGCTGAGCCTTCTGCCTCTCCAGCTAGTCGTCTTCTATCCAAATATTTTTATGCTTGAAAAACATGGTAATATCAATATTTTTGCTGACAATAGATGAATCAGAACTTCTCACTGTGCCCGATGGATGGAAAGAACCATGTTTTACCCAAGAAGATAACCCTAAAGGGCTTCTAGAAGAAAGCAGTTTTGCTACTCTTTTCCCTAAATACAGAGAAGCTTACTTGAAGGAATGCTGGCCACTAGTGCAGAAAGCTTTGAGTGAACATGTAAGAATATTTATTTATACTTTCACAGAGATAATGTTAACATTCCAGTTAAAAAGCATGGATCTTGAGGAAAGCTATATGACCTGGCTATACTGATGAATAACAGAGGTTTACTGTACATGATTCTCACATTCATTGTCTACTTTGTGAATTCCCAAATATGCAGATAAAGAGGAGTGGCCTATAGTAATATGTTCCATATTCAAAAGCAAGGCATTTCTATTTTCAGTGCACAAGGGTTCCTGTAATACTTAGGTACAGTATATATTGTATCACTTATTTAGACATAAATATACCTCAGATGTGTTTTTAATAGGCTTCTGTCACAAGCATGTTTGAAAGCAAAAGGGATAATGCTGATTCCGAGTTTTTCGGGTCCCTTGGGCAAGTTGTAAGTAATGAGTTACATTCCTTAAAGTGTGCCCATCTACTCATCCTCTCTGCTTTACCATTTGCTTGATTCTTTGGGCTCCAGATTAACTTCCTATGTGAAAAGTCTATTTGGAGATGACAGAGAACAGACAGCAAAGGGAAAGAGCAGGAAACAGGACCTGAAGATTCCAAGGACTGCAGTGGAAGTCCCATTGGCGCATGGGCTTCAGTCCTTGATTGACAATGCAAACCCAAATGTTCTTCATATAAGTCCTTTTAATTTAAAAAGGCATCTACCTAAGGTTTTCTAAATGAAACCCATACCCATTATGAAAATGTTTGATTTCTTGTTGCTCTTGGATTTCAGTAGATTTTTTTTTGGTAAATTTCACTTATCCCATACAGCTCTGATATTGTTAAGAATTTGTTCTATTCTTATGAGAATAGTTTTTCTTATGTTACAGCACATAAATGCAGTTTTAGACTTAATTGAAGGAAGCATGACTGTCAGCACAACAAAGAAGACCTTTGATCCATATATCATCATCAGAGCCCGTGATTTAATAAAACTTTTAGCCAGAAGTGTTCCATTTGAGCAGGTTTGTTTGTCTACCTTTTTTAACTTCAATTTTTTAAACTTTAATTTCAAGACATCTGATAAGACTCAACCTGATTTAGAATCCTGATTCAGAATGTTTCTTAGAAGGAGATGAATGTATTATAATAACCTATTTGACAATATCTGTATTATAATAACATATTTCACTTAAAACTATCTCTGATGTTCCATTCAGTCTGTACGTATCCTTGAAGATGACATTGCATGTGACATCATTAAAATAGGGTCCTTGGTCCGAAACAGAGAAAGATTTATAAAAAGAAGACAGAGGCTTATTGGTCCAAATGGATCTACTCTCAAGGTATGTTTTTGTTCTTGTAACTCAATCCTATGCATGCTTATTCAAAAATAGATCTCCAGTAAATGAGATTTGAATGCTTGTTTTCTTGTTTAGTAAAATAAGTGCCTATGAGAATTGGATCCTGAAATGTGTACTGTTATCTTATTTTGGTATAGGCTCTAGAACTGTTAACCAACTGCTATATCATGGTTCAGGGGAACACTGTTTCAGCTCTTGGACCTTTTAATGGTTTAAAAGAGGTAAGATCACCTTGGGATAGAACATTTTGCATGTTCAGTTCAAGCTGTAGAAGTACTTTTCATTCATTTTTGTTAATGTTATATGTTAATATACTGTAAAATGTCTATGCATTAAAAAAGAAAGAAAATCCTATATGCTAGTCTATGACCATAATAAAGATTTGATGTTGAGAGATGTCCTAAGAAATCAGTTGTTATATTAAAGTTCTGTATGTTTTATTAACAGAAGTTTATTTAACAAGCTAGACTCTATGGTCATGCTGTGCAAGACAAAACATGATATAGATGGAGCATTGTATCAGAATGTCTTGCTGTCAGAAATATGTTCACTGCTGAACAAATCAAGTGTGCAGCTTAAGAATAGGATACAAATTTGATCTGATCCAAATTTTTGCACATTAGCAGCCCTTTGTATAGGGGACGCGGTGGCGCAGCGGCTTAATGACGCTGAAAGTTGCCGGCCGGAAATGGTCGACACTTCAGCAGTTCGAGCCCAGCTCCGCGCAGCAGAGGGAGCACCTGCTTCCTCCCCCGCCCCCGCCCACCCAGCCG